AATGAAGCAAAGAGTGAAAAATTTAAAGGGGTCTGAATACTTTCCGTACCCACTGTATATTAGTATATTTTAGGCTATAGTTTACATCCAACTTTGTGTCAGTGGATTAGGTTTGTCCCTTTCCTGATGTAATATGACGGTGTCACCCTGCACAAAGCCAGCTCCATAAAGAAATGGTTTTCCCACTTGGATATATAAGTAGAACTTCACTGACCTGCACAGACACCACAACCCGAGCCAACACTAGAGATGACCTGGAATGCCGACTGTGAGCCAGAGTTTAGCACCCAACATCAACTGGGTGTCTTGTGTTTTTGGCCATGTAGTCTACAGTATATTCATATTCAGGTTCAAAACAGGCTTCACTTCTGTTCAGTTTAGCATAAATGTCAGATGAAAATATGCCTTACCAGCATGGAAATGGTGCTGTTGCAGATATATTGACTGTGTGCATTATTACATTTGCCTTGATTTTATTTCCTTTCGATCCTTTAATTTTGATGCACTCAGATGTCTCCAGCCATGGTGTAAATGACTGCTCTGTTGTTCATATTGTCCTCACTTTGAACTTCCTTTTTCTCAGCTGTTGCTGTGTGCATCCTGTTGTGATTTATCTCTTAACCCCCACCCTACCCATTTTTGCTCTCTTTCATCCGCCACCTCTCTGATTTTCGCTCTCTTCCTGTGTCTGTTTGTGATTTCAGTGGACCCCTCTTTTTCCAAACGCTCCATTTAGAGGCAGGAAATTTTTAGGAATCCTGAAGCTGCCACTCAAAACTCAGGTGTAGTGAGACCCAGTCGGCATCTTGCATGAGCCACACGCTCCACCTTCTTCGCCACCTAAGTGACCACTCCCCCCCCCTTACACCTCCTTATTGTCAGCCAACTGCAAGCATTAAAAATTATAAGGCCAACTCATGCCACATGAGTTATGAAGGCTTGACGTGCTTCCTCATTGATACCCCCCCAAAAAAAAAGCAGATCCAATGTCATCAACCTACACAGTTAAAGAGCTGGATCGAGAACAGAGATGTGAGTCAGGAAATCTGCCAAGCTGCAGTGACTTCTCTCTGGTGTTTTTCCTGTTAACTCAGGACTTTTTTCAGTGTACTGCACTGCAGGTATATCCAATGTCAGGGCCTTTGGGGGCATGTATTTCTTTTTTCATCCCTGCACTTGTTTTTATGCATTTTGTTCACATTGGAAAATAGTGTAGAGATTTTTTGAATTCTCTAATTGGCAAATTACTGAGCTTCTTTTTAAATGAATCTTCTTTTTTTGGTTTTGGGATCATGGCATTCCAGCATATCAGAGCAGTGTCTCACAAAAATGAAAGGGAAGGGAACAGTCCAACATTTTGAAAAATATGCATAAAAATAATACTGAGCTCCTCATATGTCTTTACAAGTGTATTTTCCTAAATGTTGGACTGTTTTTAAGGAGAAAGTAGGAGTGTTATCTCCTAGTAGCTTAATAATTGTCATATTCAGTTCAGCCTACACTTCCCCTTTTTTACCTCAGACAAAGGGTGCTTCTATTTGTTGTTTTTGTTTTGTTTAGTTTGGGTTTTTTGTCTGTACTGCTGCTTCCTGTTGATATATGCTCAGTAAGCTATTCACCACAAGAGTCAACAGTAAGACTACATCTTTCACACTGTTTTGTACTTTTGAGAACAAGTAATGGCAAGGGTTTTAGGTAATATATGATGCCTTGTCCCACTAAAACTCCATTTGGTTTGACATTTCTGTGGACTGGTCCAATCCCATGTGCAAGATTGTCTGTCAAAGTGAGTTCCACCATTTGACAAACATGCATTGCACACTGTCATTGTCTGAATGTCCTCATAGTTGTCATCATTTTTGTCTTTGTGACTTTTGACCATTACCATTCAGCACCTAAATTTGCTAACGTTGACAGGTAACTTCAAGCATGCATTTGCCTAACTAATAATTTACCACCGTGACTACAGCTGCTGTATACAAATGTGTAGGTGCTCAAAATATATAACAGGCTAACACTTTGAATCCAAGTGGAATTCAAAGCCAGTCAGCATGGATTACAGCTGAATGATCCTGTTAGAGACTGAGTGATCATTCACACGTGTTAGTCCAAGAAATTATTTATGTAAATGTTGATATTGATAGAATTTGTTTTTAAGCATGCTCAATGTACAAAAACTGCCCAAGTATTACTGTAATAATGCAGTGTGGACCAGTGCCAATTGCATTATGGCAAACATTGTTTTTATATTCTGTGACTTTGTTTGACAATGAGGTTTTGTTGTGTCTTCGTCAGGCCAGAGCAGCCAGTGGCATAAAAGGGCTGTTTCACAGAAACCCAAAGCAGTCTTCCCTGGACAGCCATGCTGCTGCACAGCACAGTCGTAAGCACCCGTTCGGTGCCCACCTCCTGCGCCGCACTGCCAGCGCACCCACCAAAGGCCAGCCCAAAATCAAGAAGGGCTTTCCAGAGATTGCCATTGACACCAAAGACTACAGCTCAGAGGGCGCTAGTGAGGAGCGAGAGTCTGAAGACAAGGCGTCTGCTGCCGCCTCTCATCAGCCTACAACACCACAACACCGCAATAGGGACTCACTGGCATCCCACCAAGCCAAGGGCCCCTGGGACCATCCTGACACCAATGGGGCTTTTCATCCTGAGGAGGGTAAAGGTAAGAGCCCACTTTTTGCTCAGCGACGACCTATGAGTGAACCTCTGAAACGGGCCAGTCGGCTCCGTTTTCATGACCCGCTGGACATGAAGCCAGGGGTGTTTGCCCGCGTTGCACTGAACAGCTCAGGCAGGGTGGGGATGTCCTCCAACTGCATCACATGTGTTATTGGCTCCAAAGAGAGCCCAGAGGCTGAAAGAAAGGGTCAGGTTATGGGAGGGCAGGGATGCAAATCCAAAATGGCAGATGGTGAGAAACAGGAGAGAAGTAACCATACCTCCTCCACCAAGAGGCAAGTTCAGCCAGAGTCTGTAGACACGCCCCAGCCCCTCGCTGCCCAGACAGAGTCACAGCAGTCTCCTCACCTTCCCAAGTCAGGTGTGGAGGCTCAGTTTCAGTACTCGCCCCAGGCTCTCCACCCACCTATCCCCTTACCCAGATCCAAAGCCAGGCAAACTCTGTGTGCCCAGTACATTCGACCTCAGCCTGACGCATCACAGAGGAACACCCGATCCTGCAGCGTTCCCCGAAGACGCTCCTACAACACTGTAACGCCAGCGCCAAGCCTCACAGCAGACTGCAGGATCAACCTCCGTTGGCAGCAGGCAACACCCCCCGACTATGGTGCTGTTTGTGACTCAACACTCATCCCGGTCCTGCCCCATAGTGCAAGTGACGGTAGCAGCTGTGACAGCTTCGGCAGTCTGAGCAGCTTGGAGTCGCCTCCTCTGCTGCCTCCCTGTTCTGTCCTTGATAGCCGCAAGAGAGCTGTAGGCACCCTGCAGCGCGAGATGAACGCCCTGTTTGCCCAGAAAATGGAAGAGTTGCGCCATAAGTCCCCCATGTTCTTCGCTGGTAAGAAATATCTTAGCTGCTCTGTAGTGGCAGACTGTAGCGGTAGATTGTAAACTCCTTACATGCCAAGACCACAAGTGTTTGGTAGCATTATGCTGTCGGAATCATCTTTGTGCTGTGTACCTGTAAGGTAAGAAATACCTTGTCATCCTCCGTGTCCCTAATAGTTTGAGGTCAACTCTAAAACCCCATGCAGTTCTTTCTGTTTTTACCAATTAGAATTCTTTTCTAGCTTTTTAGCTTTCACCTAATCCCTATCACTGATTCCTATTTCAATAAATTAATTGCAATTTTCCTCTCTGTGCCATGAAACATTCCATACCTGATACTACCCCCATATGTGACAGATGAGAGAAGTGGTAAGTTTTAACCTCAAATGAATGGATCTAGGAAACTAAGGTAGTTGTTATTAACTTGACTTAGTTATTTTGATGTGTATTGTCTAAAGCAGTGATTCTTAAACTTTTTTCAAAGATTTAAAATATAAATATTTTTTCAGGCAAGTACCCCCTGACCAGCACAAATAATGTTTGGTAGAACGCAAAAACCTTCATAAAGTGTTACAATACAGCTCTGCACTGTGTTATTACTGATTACTAAGAAAAACACTTAAATAATTAATTTCAAATGTTTAGAATCCCTCACTAAATCATGACATTGATGGCATTGAAGTTGCATTTAATTGCAACCTTTTTTAGTTTACTTAACTAAGGATCTTTCTTGGTGGCAGGGAGGCAACTGCAGTTGACAGCAATTAACAATTGCATAGAAAATGGGAATACAGAATATAACTTTTTAACCAACTTACATTAAAACATTTTTACTAAAAAATACTATACTATTATTTTATGAGTTATGCATAACTGATATTTTTCAAATTAACATAAGAGTCAAGTGCCCCTGCAGTACCCTAGGGTTATGCATAACCATATTTGAGAAACACTGGTCTAAAGCAACACAAAAGTCACAGCAGACCCTTATATACAAAAAGAGAAATTTAATATTGCAACTTATATTACGTTTAAGGAACAAAAAACAAGAAATAGGATTGGCTGTTTCTATTGATTGTAATTTATTATGATCCTAGTTTGATTAATCCTTAAGACAAAATCCTCTCAAATTGGGGGTCTGTGGTCTAATGTGCATCTATTGTAGGGGTCCTTGACATGACAAAGTTTGGGAACCCGTTTTAGTTCATAGTAACATTACAGTTCAAACATATGAAAGCTGATAGTGGTTAGGATATACATGGCATTATTGGGCTGCATTGTACTAAAATTGTGTCTCCTTTATATACAGTATATAGAGAAGCAAAATTAATACCTTTCATTTTAATGCGGTACAATCCACCATCACAAACAGCCTTTAACAACCTACAGTTATCTGTAAGTGTAGAGTTGTATTCAATTCAAGTTGTGAAACACACAGCATTTCGAGTACATGACCTACAATTGGCTGAACACTGGAAGTCATAAGGCACTGACATCTGTGCTGCTTTCAGGTGAAAAAAACCCTCTTCCTCCTTCACATGATATATTTCACGGGAGTCCAGTTCCTGCCTAACAGCAGCTGTTCTACCCAAACCCACTCCCCTCCAGCTTCTCCTAGTTTATCATGTGATGGCCATCAGTTTTTATGCTTTCAAAATGAATGGTGTGGGGAAAACCAAGTATGTTAAGGGAGTTAAACCTAAAATATTTCTGGCCTTGTTACAATAGCTGATGTGTGCTGACTTGTTCAGTCATATGATGCTGGCAGATACTGTATTAGTTAGTAAGTCATATGACTAACATCTATCTTAGCAACTTTACCTCTCGTCTTCCCTTTGCAGTGCAAAAAAATGTTTGTTTATTGATTAGCGATAACTTCCCTTGTTAAGATGCTTTCTCTGTCCTGTGATCTGTTTCCTTGCCTCCATTCGCCTTCTTCTCTCCAGTTTTGCTAAACTCCCTTTTTCCTCTGTCCCTTTTGCACGCCTTCTCTGTTCCTAGTGCAGAATTGAGGGGATGACCAGAGCCAGGTAAACCGTTGAATGCATGAATACCACCTGTGCACCTTCACCTTCACTTTACCCATCAGTCTCTCTGTCACACCAGCCTCCTTCTCTCACACCTATGAAGTTGGCAGGGGTTTGAATCCATATTCTTCCCCAATTTTACATATTGATGAACCTGCACTAACTCTAAATGACATTAGTGGAAGTAATGAGAGCCCCATGTGAGCTTTGTCTGTTCACATCACTGGAAAGGGGTACAGGTCCAGACAGGGACACTCACTGTGGGCAAGTGGAAAACCTAATTCATGAAACCTTTCACTCTGTTATAGCCTGTTTTGAGTCTTAAATGGAAATGATAATAAAGGGAAAGGGAAGTTAATTAGAACCTAAGTATTATTTTCATAGTTTTCAGCATAACTTTAATCAATGATAATACCCTTGTACTCTCTTTATTTTATTTTTGTTGGGCCTTTTATTGCCTTTAATTGACAGTGACAGCTGGAGATAGACA